CCTTTTTTTTTCCTTCTAAGCAGGAGGGTAACCTAGAAACTCTTTGCTGAGGGTCCTTCACGGCCTGTTTTCTAAGAACCATAATGCTGAAGTGGCAAGAGGCAAGCTAAAAGCTTTTTGACTCGTGGTAATCTTCCATCCCTGGGGCGGCGGTTCCAGCCAACAACTCCTCTGGCATCCGCCTCCTCTTTCCAGGGGCCACACAGTACTGCCCTAGTAATTCCTTCAGGACAGTTTGGCTTCAGAGCTGAGGACCTGAGCTTGGCCTCTTGTTCATAATCTGGTTACTGTAGCCACTTGAGGGAGTTGAGTTGCAGGCAAGATAAGAGAAGAGGAAATCCTCTCAGAGCCAGTGTCGGTGTCCATGAGGGAGAGGGAAGTGAAGATAGTCACCTCTTGGATGTTTTGCTTGCTCTTCCTTCATGATCTGTGAGGATTTGTCTTTGTTCTTATAATGTGAGAACCCAGGTGGATTGGGCCCCAATTTATTCCTGCGACTCAAGAGTTTGAACAGTGATATGTCTCCCAGCCTCCACACCTTCCCCTGCAGCATTCTGACTTCCTTTACTTCACTTACTTTTCTTCACTTGTATGAAGCAAGTAGTGGGAAGAAAAGGGCCTTTGACTCATACCTAATCGCAGTGTAACATCAAAGAGGGGGAAGGAGCAATTAGAGAAACCGCAAGCCCCTTCCATTTTAGGAAGTTAGCTGGGGAGCACTGTGGGACAGGAGAGGACCCAAACAGGATGGGGAGGGGTGTGGAGAGGTGGAAAGCCTTTTTATTTTTGCCTACTAAGTGGGTTTAGTGAACAGTAGGGAAGTTGAAAGCTGTGTGGGTAGCTCTATCCAGAGAGATTTTGAAAAATGAAAGTACAACCTAAGGAGTGTGTTCAGGAAGTATTTATTTCATTTCTGTCTGGTTGTCATGAGTTTGAAATTTTAAGCACCGAACTATGTCACTGTGTTCCTGGTCAAGGAGAGGGCAAAGGGGAGGGGAGTGTGTGTCCCTGACACGATATTATCTTGGCTTGGCTGAGAAAGCAATCTGAGGGGCACACTGGATTCTCGAAAATCTTCCTCTCTGAAGGGACTGAAGGACTGCTGGCCTGTTCTTGTCTCTTGTCACACCTGACCCTTTTGGGGGTTGTACACCACTGAGTATGGTGTGTGCGGAACAATATTTCGTTACTCCTCTTCATCAGGGCCTCTTAGGGTATCTGGTTAGGACCCCTGGTTAGGAGTCTTCTGCGTCACAGGACTTTGAATGCTAAAACTGGCAAAGTCTCATTAAGCTGAGTTGTTGGTCAACCTGTGGCCCTCACTCTAGGGTTTGTAGCTAGTGTCGGGCAGAGGAGTGTCAAGGAGGTCGCTGGGAGTTTGGAACATAGCTTTCCATTCCTGGTATGTATTCAGCAAGAATGCTTAATGGTTCTCCACTAAACTAGCAGGCAGGGACTAATCTGGTCCTGGAATCTGTTTGGCTAATCTGAACAAGCTCACAAGTTAATTGACTTTCCAAGTTTATGCCTGCTTTGTGGGGTTGGTGGCAGCTTAGTGGGGCTGGAGCTCAAACAGTTAGACTTGGAACCTGGCTGTGTTCACTTAAACTGTCAGGAGCAGGTGATTTTATCTTCTTCCTTCTCTGAAATGAATCAGTGGTTCCAAAAAAAGGACACTGTGCTAATTTACAGCTGTCCTTCTGGAGACATAGGAGAGTGAAAGATACAGGATAGAAGAAGGGGAGAGGAGTATGTTTTCTAGAACTCAGTGGTTGTGAAGGGAAAGTTTGAGCTGGTAGGTGGGACAAGCTTTCCTTGTTGCGAGTAGCAGTTCAGCTCAGGAATATGACAGTAGAGGCTCTTGGGGATTTCTTTGTGTGGGTGACTGGTCACCTTTCCTGACAGTACTGTGTCCTGGGCAAGCCTGGGGGGTCGGTTACCCTGAGAGGCAAGGCCTCAGAATAAGCAGTGGGGTTTTTGGCTTAAGCACATGGAAGTGACAGGAGCTTGAGCAGAGGGTACTAAGTTACTTTAGGAGAAGGCCGGTCCAGAATTTAAATCATCTTCCCCAACCCCCCAATTTTTTTGGAGTGCCCTGAATCAAGAAATCAAATGCATCTGTACTCTTTGTCTTCCTGGGCAAGCCCATGTAGATGGCAATAACTGGGTTCAGCTGGAGTTGAACTCAGACAGCCAGGGAGCAGCTGAGAACAGAGGCCTAGGACACGGGGATTGTTCCGGGGTAAAACAGATGCTAGGGGCCAGAGCTAAGCAGTTCTATTTGGCACTATAATTTTTTTCCCTAAATTTCTTTTTGGAAAGTTCCACTCAGACTGTCTCCCTTTCCACAGGGCAGGGGTGAAGGGGAGCCAAGCTGGGGATGGAGCAGGACTCTGCTGGCTGCTGGGTTTTGATCCAGAGCTGTGGGAAAGTCCTAGAGAAGCTAGACTCGGGTTGGCATTCTAAGCACCCATCTGGCCTGCTCAAGCCAGTCTTCCCTGGCTTTTAGTAAAAACACGCATATATACCTAAGCAAGAGCTATTTCTGTCTTCCAGGATACAGTATAAATACTCATGTGTCCTGTGACCTTTTGAAAGGGAACTCGGCTCTTTTTTTTCCTCTGAGAATATACCTGTGGTGGCAGGAGGGCACAGAGCAGGATCTCTATGATCTGAGCAGACGGGTAAAGGAGAGTCCTGGAGCCTTCCGTGGCTTTTCAGGCTTTTATTGAGCTTTTACCAGTGTAGGGTCAGGAATGGCCACAGTGCAGGTTTTCTATGATCCAGCAGACTGGGTAAAGGAGGAGTCAGAGTCCTAGAGCCCTCAGCGGGTTTTCAGGCTTTTATTGGGGTTCACCAGGCATATGGCAAGCAGGGGTGCTGAGGGGCCGGGAGGCTGGCAGTCCTCCTAGCCCCCAGCAAATCCTCACTCTATCTGGGCTCTCTTCCGTTCGTTCTGCTGTTTCTCAGCTTCTACTTCGGCTTCTACTGGCGTCCCCGTGACGCCGCCCTTAAAAACACAGTCTCAGCCCAGGTGAGTCCCACCTACCTATGCCCACACCCTATTCCAGGTGCCCGCCATCAGGCATGCATTCAGGACCGCAAGGATCCATCATCTATCCTGATGGCGGGAGGGCAGAAAAGCCTGACATTTTTACTTACCCTACAACCAGGTACACAGAAGGCAGGGGTGCCGGGGGGCCGGAAGGCTGGCAGGCCTCCCAGCCCGCAGCGAATCTTGACTCTTTCTGGACTCTCTGGCGTTCTTGTTCTTCTCTTGTTCTGCTCTCTCTTCTCATTCTCATTCTCTTGTTCCCGTTCTTCTGCTGGCGTCTCTGTGACGCTGCCCTTATAAGCCCAGTCTCAGACCGGTTGTGCCCACCTATGCATGCCCACACCCCACTCCAGGTGTCCGCCAGCAGGCATGCATGTAGGACTGCAGGGATCCATCATTAATGCTAATGGCAGGAGGGTGGAAAAGCCTGATACATTTTCATTTACCCTACAATCCACCCCCTCAGGGTTTTCCACCACACAATCTATATACAAGTTATATACAAGTTTCCTTTGGTGAATTATGAACACTGCAGCCATGACCCACAAAAGTAAATAGAATACAACTGAATATAGCAATGCAATACAACAGAACACAAGTCCAGGCAGGGCACCAACCTAGGGGCAAAAGACAAGATTATTGGCACCAGCAGATGATCCACTGCGTCTGCTGCTGAAGGTGCTACTCATGCGAGGGAGTGGAGCCACTCACATCTGCTGTTACATGCCAGGAACCGTCAGGCTTCCTGGTCTTCTCCATCTGTGCTCTCGGCCACAAACCACACACCGCATCCACCCCCAGGATGCACTCACTCTTGGATTGGTGATTCTGTACTCTCTGGGGGTAATCACCCAAACCTCATGGTTTGTCTGCTGTCATTCCAACATTCAACTTTCATAGCCACCAATGCAACACACAGACCCCTGCACTCAGGTCAACCCTTTGCACAAGCACATGGGTCGGGAATCCATGGATACAAGCTCCACATGCGGCCTTTCTTGGGTCCCCTGTAGGACCGCAGGGATCCATCATTAATGTTAATGGCAGCAGGGCGGAAAAGCCTGATAATTTTTCACTTACCCTACAATACCCAAGATGTTCTTTACTGTTTATCTTCTGGGTGGGAGAATGAAGTGTGATTGCCTGAGTCCCAAGGGATTTGGGGGTGACTTTTGTTATGGTATATCAGAAGTTTTGTAAGCATAAGGGTGTTGTTTATCTTGCTTACCACTGATCCCAGAGCCTAGACCTGTGCCTGTTAACACAGGCACTTAGTAATTAAGTGGTGAAAGAACCAGTGAGCTCTTCAATTAGTTAGTGAATAATTCACTAAGACCTTTCTGATTAAGGACAGTCTACTAAAGGCTGTAGGGCAGGGACTCTCAAATGCAGCTATATATTTGATGTACCTGGGGAGCACTCACAACCTCATCACCTCCTTACAGGACCTATCTTCAAATATAGTCACGTTGTGGGGTTGGGCTGCAACATAAATATTTTAGTGTGTGTTGGGGGGGCACCTTGAGGTGGGGAGGTAAATAAACATTCGGTCTGTAAGGGGCTTGTTACTCTAAGTGTGGTTTGTGGACCAGCTTCTGCAGGCATCACCTGGGTGCTGGTGGTGGGGTAGGGGTGATTGACCTGTTGTTGAGTCAGAAACTGAATTTTATTACGTTCCCTTAATAATAGAAATCAGTGACTGGGAAGCACTACTGTGGACCCTAGGGATACAGACACTCCACTGCTGCTTGGGGCCACGAAGTGGGGAACAGTGGGAAGAAAGACTGGGGCTGCTGAGGGTCAGGCTGGGAAGTTTGAACCCAATTGGGCAGGCAGTGGAGAGACAAAGACCTTCAGCATGGTAACAATAAGACTGGAATGCCCTTTCAGGAAAAAAGCCCTCCTGCTGGAATCCAATGTCTCAGAATATCACCTTCTCCTTCAGGTGCTACTCCCAGCAGCCAGCTTGCTGCAGCTCATGGATGTTCGACAGAACTGCTGTGACTTCCTGCAGTCTCAGTTGCATCCCACCAACTGCCTGGGCATCCGTGCATTTGCAGATGTGCACACTTGCACCGACCTTCTGCAGCAGGCAAACGCGTATGCAGGTAACGGGGAGCCAGCCTGCGGCACCTCCTCCGAGCTTGTGGATTTAATAACCCGATCTCTAGTGGACTCCTCAAAGATTATAGTGGACCCCTCAAAAGAGCACAGAGAGAAGTGTGCTCTGCCGTGAAGCAGTTATAATTTAGTCATGGAGACAAGACCCAGGTGGAAAGATAATTAACAATAGAAGAGTTCAGCTCCTTGCCAAGTGGAATATGATTAATGGCCAGATGGATGGTACAGACAGTAATCTTAATGAGAGAAGAGGAAAGAGATTGAGAAGACTTCATGGGGGGAAGAGTAAATTTAGCTAGGTCTTGAAATATATCTTTTTTTTTTGCCATTTAAGAATTTCTATTTTGATCAACGTGTTCTACGAACATGATTTTAAAAGCCAACACTATTGCAAGGTATAAGCAAGAGTCCCCTGCCCTGCCTTTCCACACCAAGTCTTGCTCTCAATTGCCACTCACTTTAAATTTTATAAGAATAAAAATGTAGGTTGTGATTCAGCTAAAAGCTACTTTGTCTTCTATTTACCTCCATTTATCTAAGTAATATGTAAATACCACTATTTTTGGATTTATTTATTTTAGATATTATCTGTTGACTTCTCATGGAAGATTGTACTTTCATAGACTTTCCCTCATATATATATGCCCTTCCCTCTCTTTATTCTCCTAATATCAAGCTAAGTTATGTATTTGCAGTTTTTTAAATAAGAAAAATATTAATTGTCTTTTCTTTTTGCACACTGAACTTTCTTGCAAGACAGATACAACTGAACAGTCCTTAGATCATCAGATAATCTGTTGATTCCATTTTATTTTTCTTGGAGATAGTCATCCTGCTAGAACTTGTCATGCTGTTATTTTGATGGGGTTTTGGGAGGGTCTAGAAATGAACATGAGTGTTTAGTCCCCATGTTTAGCTGGAAATAAATCTTCATTTCTGTTTATATTAACTAGAGGATGGGGCTCATGAGTTACCTAGGAAACTGTGTGGTCATTTAAATGGACAGATTCTGTTATACCACCTCCTTCCCTTGCAATAAAGCATCTTACTACCCCCAACCCCCAAAATAAATAACATCATGGCTACTATTCTTTTCTGTGTCTCTTGTCCAGACAATATCTGGGAATTATTGAGGGCCTCTTGGCTGCTCACCTCACAGCTCCCTATCCTAGGTTAGCTCCTTGGTGTACAGGCAAGAAGCATTCGCTCTGTTTCTTGGTATCCTTTTGTTCTCTGATCAAGTCCCAGACCCCAGGAGCCTGTGCAAACTCTCGTTTTCCCCTGAAGTCTATTTCTCAGGCCACATAGGCGACCAGTTGATAAGATGATCTTGACAATGATGATTTTTGTGAGAACATTTTGTGAAGAACATTTTGTGAAGCCCAATTCTGAATTCTGCTGACTCTTCCTGGCTCTGAACCTTGACTCTTTTTTTTCTGTTGTGCTCTTATGCCCCTCTTTCCCTGTATCTTCCCCACCCCCTTTCCACTTTTTGCCAAGGGGGTCCTGGCTCTCTCTGGAGAGGGCTCTCCAGCCCAGCCTTTGAAGAGGCCATTCTCCTGAGGGATGTGCTCAGGCTTAGTTTCAGCAGGATGGGAGACTTGGCCAACGCCCAGGTTCAGCACATCAACATCTGCTGGAGCAATGGCAAAGGGAAGGTGCTGAGATGCCAGGAATTCCGGCTCTTCTGCCTTCTTTCCCTCCCAGCCCTCTCCTAAGTAGAGTGTGCATGCATGCATGTCCACTCAGCACACACCCTGTCCTGTCGTCGTTGGCTCACACTGTCCTCTGTGATTTGGAGCATGTACTGAGCCTTATCTTTAGCACAGCCTCCCAGGTTTTTCTAGCCAGGCTTTCCCCTACTTTCAAACCTCTGTTTTCTCCTTTGTGCCTTTCACTATCAGACAGTGTGGAGAAGGTGCAGTTGGGAACACTGTTGTGTTGGAGGTGCTTGATCCTGAGGTGGTCTCGGCGATAGACTAGGTTCTGTCAGCACTGTGTGGGCATGTGTATGTGCAGATTATTTTCATCCAGCATTTATTGATCCCTCACTTTGGGGCATACCCTATGCTATGCCTTTTATGTGCATCAATCTCATTTAATGCATACATCAACTGAAGAAACTAAGGCACAGAGAGATGAAGACATCTCTTGGGTCACACAGCTGTTAGAGATAGAGCTAGAACAAACTCAGACAGTGTTGACTCCAAGCCAGTTTTCCTAATAACTACTGCATTCGACTGCTCCAGGGCCCATTTGGACATGGGGTGGCCCTGTGAATTGTTAGCTGAGGGGGGTTTGGTTGCTATCATTGGCGTTTTCATTGGAAGTGTGAGCCTGGAAGACTATGTCACGTAGTCACCAAATCCCAACAACCAGACGGTGCAGACAGATGACCAGCTGTCTCTGCTAGACATGCGGTGTTTAGTCATCTTGGGCGGGGGCTGGAACGAGATGTGGATGTCTTCTCGGGAGCATGTGGAGTCTGCATGTGTGAGCCCTCCTACTTCCCTGGCTTGGTCAGCGTGACTTCAGGCTGACAGCCTCCTCCCTGTGATGCTTCTTTATAATCCTCAGCTATGCAGGGAAATCAGTTTTTAGGTGGGATGTGAATGTAGTGTTTGATAAGCCCAAGATGAAAGGACATTCAAGGAGGCGTGTGAAGGTAAGACTGTACAGTGTTTAAGAGAAGGAAGTAAAAACTGATTGTTTACTCCCTTACACCCACCCACACAGTCCTCTTTTTTTTCTTTGGTCTTGTACCTGCTGACAATCTATGGAACCTGGCACCCAGCCATCATTGCCTCTTGAAACAGTTGCCACTTCCTCGCACCTTTCCTGTGGAGATATGGACACCACTAGTGTTGGCAACTGAGGCCACAGGCTTCCCTGGGCCTATGCCTTGCATTACAAGTTGTTTAAAGTCAACAACCTACAAGGAGACCTTCCAGATAAGAAATAAAGATCAGACCAGCTTTGAGCCGAGTGACCCCTGGCCTCTTTTCTTCTCTTTATGGTGGGGGTAGTACATCCTGTCCCCTTTCCAGTATATATATAGATGTAGATAGAAAGATGTAGATAGATCTATGTATCTGTCAATCTATCAATATCTGTCTATCTACCAATCATCTAGCAATAGGTAATGCTTTTTAACTTATCCTAATAAAGGCATTCCTTATACTTTTTTGGGACTTACTAGAACATGCTGAAATTCTCCCCTGACTCTTATGTGTGGATATATCATATTCTTTTTATCGGCTGCGTCATATGCATGAACTATAACTCTCTTAACCAGTCCACTGTTGATGGACATTAATGTTGCCACATTTTTCTTTTTCATAAAATGCTTCAGTGGGAATTCTTATACAGGATAATTTGGAGTATGCTTGCTGGTATATGAGTAAGGTATCATCTTGGGAGCATAAAGTAGCTCAGAGAGTGTATTTTTTTTTTTTAAAGATTTATTTATTTATGCATACAAGAACTGGGGTACAGGCCAGAGGTGTGGGGGGTGAGAGAATTCACCAGAGACAGAGTGGGGAACAGAACAGGCAGATCGACTGAAATGCACTGCTGAGGGGAGCAGTGGATGAGTCAGGAGAGGTCTGCTGCGCCATGTGGGTAGCTCTCTGGCCAGGGATTGAACTCATGCTGCAGTGGCTGCGGATAGCTTCATAGGTTGCGTCTAAACCCTTTGCACCACCAGGGAAGCCAGGAGAGTGTGTTTTTTAAAAAGGAATAAATGACACTATTTATTTATCTTTGATAAATTTATCAAATAAAAGAGGGATCTACACAGTGAAAGAACAGAAGTAGCTAAAAAGAGAATGGAGTTTGGGCAAGCAACATGTTAGAGGGAGTCCAGGGTTAATAGAAACTTTGAGAGAGAGGATAAGGATGAATTTTATGACATCGGTGCTGTGTATAAGGGTAAAATTCCACTGTGTTCCTGGCTGTCTTTTCAAGAAAGATGAATAAAAATTATATTACAGTCAAAAAAAAAAATAAAATAAAAAGGAATAAATATCAACTTGCTTACTGGAAAAAGTAACTTTTTTCAAAGTCATCTCATGCCTCCTGGTACATCTCCAGCCCTCTGGTGCAGACACTGAGAGGTGGACATGGTGCTCCCCTGGGAGCTGGGGTGCATCTCTCCACCCAGCTGCCTGTTCAGTTTCCTGTTTGGAATGGGCCTGTCTCTTCCTGCTGTGGCCATCCCTCCTGCTGCCTCTGCATCCAGTTTTCCCCTAAGTGTTATGGCCCCAGATTTTTGCTGTGATATGTATTTTTCTGGGACTGGGCAAGGGTGTGCCCCATATTTAAGAACTCACTGCTCAAACCCTTGCCCCCAGCTGATGTTGTCACAGTCCTCCTAGGCAACAAGTAATTGGGAGAGGGACCCTGCTGTTTTGCACAGCCTGTTTCTTAACCCTCATTACTATTTGCAAGGACTGCTTAATCTTTAACCACAGAGGCCAGGTTTATGGGGACTTTGTTTGGTAATTGGACAGCCATGCACTGGGCCATCAACAGAGCTGATTGGAGGGATGTTAATGGAACTCCATTAATGAAGTTGCAATTAAAATTCTTTGGACATGTTTATATCAGTCTGCCAAAGTTGAGCTGAAACCCTCCAGCCATGGGATGGAAAAGCCATCGAATTTCACGTGTTCATGGAGAGAAATTGGCCTTTTCTTGGATTGGTTGAATCATTTGAGATCATGGAATGAAGTGGTTTAACTAAGGGTAACAAAAAACTTTGACAAAACACTTAGAACACATGAACCTCTTACTCAGTGAGGGTTGCCTTATGAAATTGCTGCCTCCAACTTGGCATCATAAAATAATTATGCTGCTGATGATAGTAATGGTGGGCGTTTTACCATTTCTGAACACATACTGTGCCAAGCACGGCACTGCAAACTTCATAGGAATTCTCATTTTTGTCACTTAGCTATAAGTGGTGGTTGTTTCTCCAATGTAGAAA